ACTTCCAAAAAAAAAAAAAAAGAAAGGGCCGAGAGTTGAACGTCAGCTTTTGTTGAAATGTGAGCTTCCAAGGCCTACATTCTTTGCACTCAAACAACACTTAAAAGGCCAAGAGAAAGTCAGGGTGATTCATCGGTTGACAGTGAGGAGATGTGCGTCAAAAAGGCCCGCTTGACATTTATGTTCACCGCACAGCAAATGACAGTGGGGTCATTAAGGCGCCTCTGCTGTGTTTTTTTTTTTTTTTCTCTCTTCCGAAACTACAACACAAAAGATGACTGAACCCGATGTTCTCAAGTGGAGAAGAGCAGACCGAGGCGGCTGACCGCAACCCACACAAAGCATTCGAAATGCCAGAACAATGCACTCGGGTTTTTGTGTGGGACCGACGGTGTGGCAATGTGCAACCAACTGGCAGGAAATTAACGAGCTTTCACCGAGGACGCAGTTGAAGGTCGAAAAGCTTCGGGACAGCAGGAGAAAAAAACAAGAGTCCGTTCCTGTGAACGGACCTGACCGCTGCGAACTGGAGACCATTTACAGTTCACACCGTGGCCCGAAGGCTGGCGCTCATTTGACTCGAGCGTCAAGCGGAAGTCCGTTTCGTATGTGGGCACAAAGTCAATTTCTCGCTCCTGTTTGTTACTTGTCAACATTCATGGTCAATGGCAGGGGTCCCCAACCGCCCGGTCTGCGGACCGGTACCGGTTCTCGGCCCATTTGGGACAATGAGGCTTCATTGACAGCGCACAATTCAAGTGACATCATTCCGATTTATTTTTTTTTTCTCTCAAGTAGCACTCATGAATGAGCGCGAATAGTAAAAACGAAAAACTCCTGAAATGGGCTATGGTACAATCAGTGTCAGGCCTCTTCTTTCTAACTGCGGGTCAAATTCTGAAAGGTATCGGAAATGTGCCGACTCACAGAGCGGATGTCCCTGTTCAGCTTCAGTCAGGACTTGACTCCACTTTGTGTTTCTTTTTTTTTGCCCCAGTCAGTCACCTGGAACTGACCGGGGCCGGCGCTCCGTCAAGAGGGCAGGAGGACTCAAACTGACTTTGGCAACCGCATGTCGTCATGTCGGCCGCTCACTTTTGTTCGTCGTCGTCGTCGTCCCAACTCCCTTTTCCCGCGGGTCTCCGCCTCGTCCCTCCTTGTCTTGTTTTTGTGTGTGTTTTTAAAGCGAAGCCTGCGTTTGTCCGCCTCGCCGGTTGCCACGGCCGCACCTACCGCTGCGCTTTCAATCGACATCTGCCAGCAATCAAGCCATCACTCAGCCGCTTATGTACCTGGAACTCGGCACCAGCGGCGTGCCTTATTGTTGTAGCAACCACGCTGGTAGCTAATGTCTCAAGCCACAGCTCAGCTGTTTAATAGCGTCTCTGTGTGTTTTTCCCTTACGCATCTAAGCTGTGTTTTCATCTGCTCAAGATCATCATCCCCAGATGCCCGTCTGCCCTCCACCGCCTCGTCCATGTCATCGCCGGAGCGTACCTTCACGATTCACTTGCTTCTCCTCGGACCTTTTTCGCCCCGTCACAAAACTGGCCCTGTCTTGCGTTTGGTTGTCCCTTCTACAGCGACATCATGTTTTACCCCGCCGTCACGCTGCATTTGGTAGCGAAAGATAATGCCATTTGAATGGTTGAAAAGTAGCTTTTCAAGATGAAACTGCACTAGAAGTTCTCTTTCCTCCCAGATTGCAAAAAAACACGCGAGGCAGGTAGGTTGATTGGGCACTCCAAATTGTCCCGAGGTGCGAGTGTGAGCGTGGATGGTTGTTCATCTGTGTGTGTATGCCCTGCGATTGGCTGGCAACCGGTTCAGGGTGTCCCCCGCCGACTGCCCGAAGATAAGCTGCGGCACCCCCGCGACCCTTGGTGATCGGAAAATTTATTGTTCTCAGTTATGTCCAGCTCAATTATTCTCTCGTTGGCCAGAGCCCTTCAACCTCCCGCTAGCTTATGAGTCAGTTCGACCCATTGAAAAAAAAAAAATAATAATACTTCAGTGTAGGGGTATGCAACTTCAACTTGGCGTACAACACGTCATCATCACTGCACCACAAACTGCCATTCATGGCTTTTAAAAAGGGGCTATGACAAAGTTCATTGGGATTTCTTCCATTCCGTGCACTTTTGGATGACTTGACATAGCCCGGGTTCAATTGACGCAGGAAAATGTTTTGCTGTTGCTGAGAAAGTAACATCAGAGGAGGCTTAAGATCAAATATGCGCCTCTTCATCGCTCACTCGGGAGCTCCACGTCCACACTCTGCATCGGTTCCCGTGCGTGCTGAAAGTCTCGCTTCCAAGATGAATTGACTGCAACGCGAGCGCTGCTTGTCGGAGCTTGATTTGTCGTCTTGCCGTCCACGAGCCTTTCTGTGACAGACGTAAAAGACGAGTCTCACCGTACGTCGTACCGTGTCCGCTACTACGGATGCGATTGTTTGACATGTAGATTGCGAAGATATTGCTGAAATATTTTCCAACGGGAAGCTACTTGAGTGGCACTTACGCCTCGCACTTATTTCTCAAATACAGCCGAACGTCGTTTCAGCGTACAGATGCCAGTGTCGGTCTTGGAGCGGGCGGATACCACAGAAGACCTTGGAGGTTTGAAGACATCAATTCTTCACGTGAACCTTTTATCGAATGTGTCAAGAGTTTGATGAAAAATTATTTGGGGCCTGAGAGGTGATAAAATTTGAGTGCAAACATATGAGGAGGGAACTCATGCGCTCATCGTTTCTCCGCAAGGTCGCCGTTCTGCCGAGAAATCGTTCAAAGTATGATTTAAAGTATCTGAATGTGTGTCATTTATTGAGCCGACCTCCAGAGAGCAATGCGGTTTGTCCACTAAACAGATAAAAAAAAAATAAAAAAAAAGTGACCCAAAAGAAAGCATTTAAAAGACAGTGCTGCTATGTCGTGTCGTTGCGATGGTTCCAGTAGCCTTCCATTCCTGTCATCATGCTGTCAAAGCAACAACGCCTGAGCAACAAATGACACCATTTGAACAGGCCGCTTTTGCCGCAAGATGATACTTTTCCCTTTGGGCTTTGACATGATCAGATTTTTTTATTTTTATTTTTTTTCCATCGTGGCGCGAAAACAGCAGATCGTACCGGTCTTACAAAGACTCCCTTGTAAAGTTTGACATGCTTGTTCCACAAAGCGCTCCCGTCACTGTGTGTCACAGCTGCTGCAGATTTATTTCCTCTTTCCCAAAGTTTGTCAACAATGTCCTTTTCATAGGCTTTGAGTTCCCGTTGTCACAAAGATGCGTCGGGCATGCTAATATCACCCCTAGCTACCACTACCTTTTTTTTTCATTTTTCTTTTTTTCTTTTCGAAACAACAGAGCTGTTCGAGGTCCGTGGAAACACGTTCCCTCCGATGTAATCCTTGAGCAAACATCTGAGGAGCATGGCCCACTTGATTCAAACAGCCATGACGCCGCAGACGAATCAGATAAGACGGAGCCGATTAGGCAGTTGGCTGCTGCTTTCCAGCACGTTTTACAAGCACCTGCACCTCGTAAGCCTCCGATTAGCTCACCTCTCGAGCCCCCGCCGCCTGATGATGGCTTTCTTTCTCTCGTCGCCGTTTCCATGGAATGAGCGGCCATTTCGTTTGGGAGGAGGCTCAACGTAAAAACCGAAAGCCCATGCCAACATTCGCGATCACGACAACAGACGAACGTGGAAAGTTGTAAACGCTCATCATCGGTTCGCATGATGCTGGGCCACACTTTGTGGCTTTTGGGAAGACTTTTCGCAGGCTTAAGGAGTGTGTTGATGGGAAACTATTGATCTTCCAGGACTGCATTGGTGAGGTTTTGCACACACGCACACACGCACACGATGTTGGATGAGAAGCCCTCGCTCTCTAGTTGCCGCTGAAATTCATCCCAACGGTGTTGAGGTCTGGACTCTGTGCAGGCAAGTCAAGTTCATCTGAATCACACTCTCTCCTCCATGACTTTGTGGCCCTGGCAGTGTCGTGACGGACCAGCGAGGCTCATCTCTCAACGGTTTGAGTGTCCAGAATCCCTCTGTAGGCTGAAGCAGTCAGATTTTCCTTCCCTGGGACTTACGGGCCGAATATTTTGGACAATTCCATGGCCGTAGACTTTGCGGGGACGTGGGAACAACGACACAAAGCACTAAAGGGTCTGTGTCAGGCAGGTGGATCCAGTCTCAAGTGCCTTTCATTTTGTCAATGGCAAAGAAAAAAGAAGTGTCCAGCGCTATATTTTGAAGAAAGGTGTCGTAGGTGAAGTGGAGAAACAGGAAGATTGTGTCTTCTTGCATTCGGGGGAGGAACCGGTTTAGAGTTCCGTACACACAACACGAAGAGCCGAAAAGGAATACCTGAAGACAAACCCAAACACTGTCGAGGATTACGTGATTTGACTTGTTTAAGAGTGCCTGCATGAGCTAACATACAGTCGATAATAAAAGCTGCAGTCGGTTTTTCCTGGTCTGCAAGGTCAAGCAGTTGCTTTGCTGATGTTACAATCTCGCCGTTCCGACTGTGTAATCACGTATGTGAGCGAGCCCGCGTGCTTTGGTGATTGCTGTCTGCTTCCTCGATCTACGTGCAAAGACGGATAGATATTTTTCCTTTCAAAGCTGACACTTGGTCTTTCTTCCCTTGCCGCTCCCCCAGTCCCGTTTTGACACTCTGCAGTCCGGCACCCCAGTCCTGCGGCCATTTGATGAATTTTGCAAATGTCAGTGAACTTGCTTTTGCCTCTAAGTCTTGAGCTCTCTCTATTTGGCTAAAATGGTAAGCCGTGCGTCCAAGTTCAGAAAACACATTGGCTTGATTTACACTGCATGAGTCAAGAGATTCCGATTGGCTCATCGTCACGGCTGTGTAAGAAAAAAAAAAAAACATGGAATCGGATATCGTCAAGTCGGAATCAGGCCTCTCCCAAAAGTAAATATAAATAACGAAGACAGTCGAAAGCACAAAAACAGTCAAACTAAAAATCAAGCCCCATGCTGAGCCAAATGCCAAAGAATAAAACGGAGTCGGAAGACGAGTTTTAAAGATGAGCAGTGAGTAGGAGTGACGCGCTCCCTTTTCCGAGTACCAGTCAACAAGGCGAGCGGCAGCATTCTGGACCAACTGGAGACCCTTCATGGAGGATTGGCAGACTCCATGGTCTAAATATGCTATTGAGAGGCACTCTGAAAATGAAATGAAATGAAATGGTAGTGGAGGTTACCCCCATTTAAATAAAAATAAGCAATTGTTTCCCCAATTTGTCAGCGTTAAGTCAAGCAGATTTCGGCCCGCATGGTGGCAAGAAATGATGTCGACCGGAACAACAAACAAAACAAGCTAGTGAATGTTTACGATCACCTCGTCGGCAAATCCGCTCCCATTTTCATCGGGAGAAACCGGGTCAATGAGCATCAATGCAGAGAAGTCGTTTTATTTGGGTGGGGTGGGTCGACGTGATGATGCTTTGCTTTCCAGCGTAAAGTACCAAAATACTTGAGGGACTTTCATTGACACTGAATTTTCTTTTGTGTTTATTTTTATCCTTCTGGCATCTACTTATAGAATCTCGGCGTTGAGGCTCGAGAGAGTCTTCACGCCGCAGTCTGTGTGCATGCGTAAAGCCATACATAAGACCCATAAATGAAAGATTATGCAAAAGTCTTGCGGCCGCTTTGGTCGAACTGGTGATTAATTGCGCAGCTCCAGTGGACTGCGGTGCAGGCATGCCACTTTAATGTTGCAGCTGCTTGCTTTCAGCGTTTGGGACACACAGTCAAACTGGCCTTCTGACCACATACCAGAGTGCCTAAAATAGGCTATGGATTTTTCTTTTTTTTTTTTCTTTTTTTAAGCACGCAAAGCACTAAGATGACTTATTAATCAAGTGTACTCTGGCTAAGATTTAGATTGATATTTTCTTTTTGAATGTTCCCTTTGATTCGCTGTTATGCTAATACCGTAGTTGGGCCTAAGTATTGACGGCTCCCCCCGGAATCCATCGTAAAATTTAAAAAAAAAAATTAAATCTTTTGTTCGCTGCTGTTTTGAATTTTCGCAGGAGGACGTCACTATTTAGCAAATTTGTCTAATCCCACCCCCACACTAAGATTCCCAATCCACGACCTGGAGTCAACTGCTGACTTGCGATTCTGCATTTGAAACATCTCAAGCACTTCTTTGTGAGTCTGTCCTGTCGAAAAATGTAATTGTTCGATTTTTTTGTTTGTTTTTTTTTTTTTTTTCCTCTCGTCCATGGACTCAAGCCAACCGGGCACGAGACAGAAAGCGTTTGCTGAGGCGGCATCTGCACAACATCTTCCTCGTGTCGGAAGTTCATGCAACGCTCGTTTCATCCCCGACGGATGCGACCGCGGCAGATTGTGGAGAACAGATGCACTTGTCAATTTGGATGTACTTTGACAGCAGATTCTTATATCCCCACAAAAAAAAAAAAAAAAATGAAGTCCATGCAATCTGTCAAATCCGATTAAAAGATCCAATCTCACGCAGACATCTTCATGTGACTCGTTAAAGGTGAGCGAGACGGGCCCCTCCGGGATGAAGCTTCCATACGGTTTTCATAGTCCGCTGCTGGACTTACTCAGAATGTGACTTGCTAGATAATTCAAAGTGATCTGGCAAGGCAGGGAACCACTGCGGGCTGTCGGGATGCTGGACGGCCGCCAAACATCTCCGGCCGCCGCGCGGCAGGCAGCGGCCCCTTGACGTGGTGGCCAGCTTTGCGCTCCGCGTCGCTTCGCTCGGCGCGGTTCTGCGCCGTGCCGCGCCACGCCGCAAAAGGTGCGCGGTCACGGAAAGCCCGCTCTGCTGGCTCCGCCTTGCCATCCTGGCTCTTTCATGCAGTGCGAGCGTCTCCTCGCATGAAGTCACACACAAACGTGTCCGCCTGGATTCAATCATAGCGCGCTCGTTCGGGCCACTTCAGGCTCTCGCCGAGGAAAGTAGAAGTAAAGCTCGACCCATGTGGATTCTTAGGAGGGCCTCTGGGGTAGGGACGAGGCTCACCATGCATGAAAACCCAATTTTGACAGAAGCCGGTGTACCTCTTGAGGTATTACCAGTGCGGCGTGGCCTCCTAATACAAAACACAGTACTCGGGTTCATGAGAACGCTGTGAAGTGCGCATTGAGTCCTCCATGTTGGTTGGAAGTCTTCGTCTGAGTCTTTTGGCTTGAAATGCACATTCGTTTCAGGCGGGGTGGCATGGTGGTTGACTGGTTAGCACAGGGGTGTCAAAGTCATTTCGGGCGCGGGCCGCATTATCATAACCGTTTCCCTTGGAGGGCCGTGATGACTGAGTCAAAAATAACGTTTCATTCAACTATTGGTTAAGTTACTGTCATGAAGGGTTTGGTGACAAGAAAATGCTTTCAATATCCTTTTTATTTATTGCGGATGAGAATTTTAAATGTTGTTACAAATTCTAGCTCGCATCATGAAAGTTGACATGTTTGATTTGCTTTTGCGGGCCACATAAAATGAGTTGGCGGGCCACATCTGGGCCCCGGGCCTTGAGTTTGACACCTGCGGGTCAGCACGTCGGTCTCACAGTGCTCAGATGAGGCGTTTGATTCCGTCTGCGCCCTTCCTCTTAGCCCTTTTCCACCCCAAAAATCGGCGCTGTGCTTCGTTGGTGCTGAACAAGTCCTTACCAAGAACATCGTGCCATCTCTAGGGGGCGACGTCAGGACGTCCGATCCGGCCCGCCATTTTATGTGGCCCGCGAAAGCAAATCATGTGTGCCAAAATCTGTACGGAAATGTCAAATCGTCCTGTGCGATAAATAACAGTGAGACTCTGCAATCATTTTGTTGCCCTCTTTACACTCACTCGAACAATAATTGAACAAGCTATTTTAGTTGACTTGATTGATTTCAAAACTAGTAAGCCATGAATTGGCTGTGTAATAACGCAATGAGACGATGAAACCAAAAGGCACGCCAAGTGCTCGAAATTTTCCATTCAAGTTCCTTTCGAGTCTGATGATTTTCCACGGATCATTTCCCTTTCAAAACTCGGCTCAAGTCGGTTCAAGTTCAAGCCAATGGAAGTCCAATTCAATCAGAACTTATTAGCATAATGTGCAACGTTTGTTGTGGCCCGCAGTCACGTCACATCAAATCATCCGATGAGTCAGGAGGTGCGGCGAGGCGTCAAATAGCCCGGCCGGGCGTGCGTTGGGGAAAAAAAAGACATTTCCGAGGTTGCGTGAACAGGCCTTGTCGTCGAAGTCCAACGTGTCACGCCACATTTTCGTCTTTTTCAGCGATGCTGCCTCAGAAAAAAAATCACTGTCTCACTTTGCATTCAAAACGAATGCTCGAGAGAAGTTGAATTTGTCCTGATCTGTGCTTTCCCTTTTGAGTTTGCATTTGGTTGTGTTTGACGTTGCGTCTTGTTTTCTTGCGGTTCATGTCTTGTCCTGTTGCTTTTGTGTCCAGCCGGGCCGGTCACGCCGGTCCCTTGAGTCTTCCGATCATCGTCATCCATTCGTATCTTGATCTGCTGCTCCGCATGGTCTCGTAAGTTGGCTTGTGTTGACTTTCTTGGTTTCTTTTTGTCCTTTCCTTGATGTTGACAGTTTTTGTTTTACTTTTTTATCTGGCAATTTTGGACTTGTGTTCGTTTAGTCTCACGGATTCCGCGTGTCTCGTTAGCCCATCTTTGTCGGGTCGTCCACCCTGCTCCACCCTGACAAAATTGGCGGGACCTTTAATTTATTCGGAATATTTCATCAGCGACAGCACAAAGCTGAGATTTGTGTCCGGTTTCTCGAACTATGTTCAACGGCTTAGCCACCCACCTATCGAATCAGTCTTGCCGTGTTTCATAACTGCAAGATTAAGTGCCCCCCCCACCCCCGTTCCCCTCTTTCGTCCACCTTTTCTAGTTGGCCCTCAGCGGAAAAAGTTTTACACCTCCCTGATCTAT